TTTTTTAAAAAGAAGTTTTTTCCTTTGGTTCCCGGTCCTAAGATGAATGCAACTCTGACAACTTGTCTTCTTCATTTGTCATTTCAGAGTCTCTATTCCCTATTCTCTGTTTATCAGAGAAAAAAAAAAGATATGAAAGGAAGACAGTACTGAAATGATAGGGACAGAGGTTTCTGTCTTGTTTCTTCTAATTCCAGGAGAAGATGGGAATCCTTCTGTAAGAAGAGCTTATTACTTTGAGTCACCTAGGGTCGGACACATTTGAGTCTGGATGAGGCATGGAGTTTTGCTAATGAGGAGCCCCTTGGGCCAGCTGTGTTGTCTCAGGAGTGGGTGGGCTGTCAGAGCATCTCCAGTTATTCAGCTGTTGCTATGGCAGATACCACAGTGGTGCCCTTGAGAGCATGCTCAGTGTGTCTGGGGTGAGGGTGGGATTGAACAGGAGGACTTGTCTTCTTGGTAAAAAGAATTGGTATAATTGAGAGATTGATTCTTGGAGGCTTATTGGGGGAGACACACCCAGCTCTCTCAGCTCTACTGTAATTTGCCTTAGTCCAACAACTGAGGAGGATGCCAAAATGTCCCAGTGAATGACTGGGGAAAGAGAAGGGAATTAGGTATTCCATTTACAATTTCATTGTCTCTGTTGGTCTATGTGGTTGTTTTGATAATATTGTCGAAATCTTAGCTCCTCCACCTCACAGGACACACACACACACACACACACACACAGATTGAAGGAGATCATTTCTTTAATGGCTCTGAAAGTGGCTAAGCCAGGATGAGAACTGATAATTGAAGTTTGGACTTCTAGACCCTGACCCCCTTTCTTTGAGTCAGGGTCTCACTGTGTTGCCCAGGCTGATCTTGAACTTATGGGCTCAAGTAATTCTCCTTCTCCTACCTCTTAGCCTTTCAAGTAGTTGGCACTATAGGTGTGTGTCACCACACACCACACCTGGTTCCTCCTCCCCCCCACTTTTTTTTTTTTTTTTTTGGTATTAGGGATTGGATCCAAGAGTGCTTTACCACTGAACCATATCTCCAGCTCTTTTTATTTTTTATTTAGAGACAGGGTCTTACTAAGTTACTTAAGGCCTTGCTATTGCTGATACTAGCCTTGAATTTGTGATCCTCCCACCCCAGGCTTCTAAATCCCTGGGATTACAGGCATGGGGCACGGTTCCCAGCTCCCCCACTCCCACCCCCACCCCATTTTTTAAATCAATGTAAGCTACTGAATTTTAAGTCAGCCCAGTATGAGGAAGTATCCTTAATTTTTTTTTAATGAATGTGAACATTTCCCCCTCTAGATTCATTTAGGAAACTTCACTCCTTTTCCTGTCTTGCCTAGGGAAAGCCATTTCTTTCAAAATGAAATTCCCTCTTGGACTAAGGAATCCACCTCAGCTTGCCTCTTCTTTCCTGCTTTCTCTGACAGAAGCAAGTAGAAAGCCACTAAAGTTCTCAAATAAAGGAGACCTGTGGAGAGTGTTTACCATTACAGTGCAGATTAGTGGGAAGGCAGCAGTAGCATCCAGAGGGGTTTGGCTGAGTTGAACTTGAGCTCTGTACTCAGTGCACTGTGGGAGGAAGAGTCACAGCAAGTTGGAATTCAGCTCAGCAGAAAACACCCCTGGCTATATTCATCTGTAGGATATTCTTACAGCCCAGGTAAGCAGAGAGAGACTATCACAGGGTGCTTTCTGTACCTCAGTATTTTATTGAGTACAGTGTTAAGTTCTGTGTTGAAGTCCTTTCCACACATTATCTTATTTAATCTTTCCAACAATCCTTTAAGGTTGTTATCCTAAATATCCTTAACTGAAACAAGGAAACTGAGGGTCAGATGGGGTTCAGTAATGTGCTCAAGGTTGCACAGCTGGTGAGCAGTGATCTGGGACTGGAATCCAAATGTTCCTAACTCCAGAGCCTCAAAATGCAATGAAAACCAATGTAAATCCAGTGTAGAGAAACACACTTGCAAATCTTCATGCAATCCACAGTTTCTTTAGCTTTTAGTGTAAGTAGCTATTAGGTTTGGAATTTTTCCCTCTTTAAGTCTAAATCTAGGCACCTTGCCTGAAATATAGCTCTTCAAGTCAAGCAAATGGACTTACCACTTACCTTGATCTACCATTGAAAAATACATTCTCCATCTAATATTCAGCCTGAAAACACACACACATGCACACACACATTTTTCATTACTTTTTAGAGATATAGATATAATGGGCTAGATTTGCTCTTCCCTAATACTAGTTCTTAGGGACGGGCAATTTTCTCGGCTCCAGAGAGCATTCATTTACCTGTCTCGATGCTAACACATTTCAGTGGTAGTAAATTGGGTCTCCAGGGAGCCCCATTCATTTTTTGGTGCTAATGGTGTACACCATATCAGAAATATGTAGCAATCTGAAATAATGTGTTGGCATCCTGAGAACCTACTCTAAGCAACTTAGATCCCAAATTAAGACTTTTGCCCTAAACTCCTCGAAAGGGTTTTGCATTTGGAAATGTTTTGTGGTCATCTATCTTTTCACTGTGGTGAACGAAGTCAGCAGGCTTTTCCCCGTTTAAAGACTAAAAATGGGGATGGTGGGGCTTGACACAATCACGTAGTGTTGTTCTGGGGAAGCCAGATGGCAGAGAAGGACAATCATCAACGCTCTCCAGTTTTCAAAGGCGATTTCCGGGACGGGCATGACCTGACCAAGGCCTTTGAACCTGGGTTGAGGCTAGGTGGGTGCCGGCCGGGGAGGCCCCTCTTGCAGGGGCCAGCGGAGTTACTAAGGCTAGACTTGGGATGGGAACTGGGGAGAAGTGATAAGACCGGAAAGTCGAGCTTGGTAGAAGTGAGCGGGTTGGCAGCGCCTTCCGACTCCCGCGTTCAGAATGTCGGTGGACAGATGCAAACCTTTGGCACCCACCTGCGCCGCGCCTCTGGA